TTGTTGGTTACATTCTTGTCAAAAGGTTTGTACCGTACCGATCATCATCATCATTATCATCATTATAATCATCATCATTCTCATCACAGTCATCATAATCATCGTCGTCACAATCATCATAATCACCGTCGTCACATTCATCATTACCATGGTCATCATCATCACCATCGTCATCACTTTCATCATAATCATCATCATTTCCATTATCATCATGATCGTCATTATTATCATCCTCACCATCATCTCAGTAAGAAATTCGTTAGACTATTATTCGTTTTACAATAGCGAACTGGTTGCAGATTTTGGCGCAGTCGTGCTGCAGAACCAGAAGAGCAATGCGAACCGGTTGAAAATCTGCAAAATGGCCTTGTTGTTCCTCGAGCTGCCGACTTCATAATGTGTAAGTTGTTGAAAATTCCGAAAAACATCGAAAACCCGAAATATTTCAAAAAAAACCTTAGTTTTTCTGTAATTTTTGTTCTGGATTTGAGAAAAATTTCGATATTTTTTAGTGAGAAGTGGTAAGGCGCGTGCTGCAGCTTCCGTTGGATCGACGCCTCGAACCTCACTAAGATCTGGACACGGATCAGTTGGTGAATCGGATATAGTCATCTGTAAGTGAAATAAGATTTGGATGATCACCGTAGATTTGGTTAATCTCTGATGGGGTGCCTTAATTTGTCTTTTGAACGACGCACATGTTTTTTTTGTTAAAAATTTGATATTTTGGATTTTCTAGGCTCAGAACGGGTACAGGAAATGATTCTTTTTTTTTTATTTTTTGGTTAAAAATTTGATATTTTTCGTTTTCTAGGCTTACAAAAAAAATGATTCTTTTTTTTCTTTGTTAAAAATTTGATATTTTGGATTTTTTAGGCTCACAACGAGTACAGGAAATGATACAGCGACTGGAACGAGTGCTTCTTGCATTTGACATGGTAAAGAATCGATCGGAGAAAGACAGCAAACGAGCAGAATTGTTGTCCTCCGTAGTAGACAGGTTTTTTTTTCAATAAATTCTATATTTTTTGGATGTTATAAAGAAGTTCTTTGCATAAATAGGAAGAGATTGCGCGAAATTTTGGCACGCATGACCTCTGTAATTCTAAGTACTTGACCTGCTTCACTCCATTCACTAATTCCTAACACTTCTACTATATTCTAAATAATTCCACATTTTACCCCTACCACCCTTTTTACTAACTTCCTTTGCCCTCTTTTCCCCTTCATTAATTTACCCCTTACAAACCCCTTCCGAAAACGCTGGGGGTTGGGATCTCGAACCCAATATGCGCCATGCGTTCATGCTACTAACTCTACTAGCTGGCCGCCTCGGTTTGTCTAACGTTCTCCGTCCGTTGGATAGTTTGTGCGACGCCCTGGCTCGTCCCACTGAAGT